GCACACACACACACACACACACACACACACACACACACACACACACAGACCTAGCAATTTCACCCCTTCGAAGAAGAAGAATGTATCTCTCTTCAAATAAAAGTAGAGAATCAAAAACTGCTCAGTATCTCTGGGTAGGCTGATTTGATAGACATGCGTGTCTGACAAGATTAGAATGCTAGTTTACTTTGTGCTTATCGATGTTTCGATTTGTTTTCTTACATCAAAGAGTGCCTCTATATTGTCTGCGCTGTTGGGTTTTGAGAATTGAATGGGAGACATCGCGGTGAAATCAAGCGCTAGTCAAAGTAATCAAATTAAAGTAACCGCCATTTTTTCCTGTCGCTGTGTAATTGGTATTACTTCTATTGCGGCTCAACATATTTTATGTCAATTCAAAAACACATTTCTGTTTGGATTTTAGGGAAAACGTTGATCAAAGGCACACACATTTTTACATTTGTAGTCTCCAGGGACTGTCAAGCTTTGGAACTCACCAAACTTTGGCGCCCATTTTCTCGCCAATTCTACCTCTAGCACTAGCGACCCCCATCTCCTTCAATCAAACATATTATTTCGACTTCTATTCAAGATACATGGGTGTATTTTTTTTGTCCTGCCCATTTATATGAGATTGACGCCATCTGATTAGTAGGAAAAAGGGCATATGATTTTGTCCAATAGTGTATTACATGCATACTTAGTATGTCAAGTAATTGTAATAGTGGATAGAGATTCTGTGTATTAAAAAAAACCCGAAAGCAAGAAAAATAAACCGACTTTAAGACGCTACCAATACCTCAACATATTCTCAACAATTGACGAGCGCCTGATTCCACCGCGTTGTGACAGAAATACCTCTTGCATTCAGGTACTGTCAGCGGGTAATGTATTGCATACCTTCTGTAGAATCGGTTGTTGCAATTTATTGTTTTACTTCTTTAGTTCCTATGCGTTCATCGTTTGGTTTTGTCAGTTTCTCTGACTATCTCTCTCTCTCTCGATTTCTATCTCGTTCTCTCTCTTTCTCTCTCTTTCTCTCATTTTTCTCTCTATTTCTCTCTCTTCCTCAATCAAACTCTATCTATCTCTATCTTCCAGTTTCCTCCATGCCCCTTTCTCTCTCCCTCCCTCTCTCTCTCTTTCTGTCTTTCACTAACTCTGTCCCTCTCTCTGTGACCTCTCTCTCTCTCTCTGTCTCTGTCTCTCTCTGTCTCTCTCTGTATCTCACTCTCTCTCTCTCTCTCTTTATCTCTCTCTCTGTCTCTGTCTCTGTCTCTCTCTCTCTTTAGCTCTCTCTTTCTCTCTCTCTTATAGTTTCTTGATATTTTTTTCTCTATCACTCACATTCTCACCTTGTAAGTTCTGTCTTCTCTCCACCTCCTCCCCCCTCTCTCTGACTCCCTCTCTCTATCTCTATCTCTCTCTTCCCTCCCTCTCTCTCTCCTTCTCTCTCTGTCGGACTTTCTCTCTCTTTTTTCATTTTCCATTCTTTTTGTCTTTTGGTCCCCCTTTCTCTTTTTCTCTTGTCTACTCTTTCTCTTTCACTATCTCTCGCTCCCTTTCCTTGTGTATCACAAACAGACATACACAAACATACACATATCACACACGCAAACACACACATATACACACATACACAGACAAACATGCATACGCACACCCACATAAGAACACCTAAACACAGCGTCTCTGTCACATAAAAGCATACACACATGCACACACAAACACACACACATAAACACACTTTCTCACACACAAGCATACATATGTAAACACACTTTTTCACACTTTTTCACACTTTTTCACACTTTTTCACACACACATACACACGTGCACCCCC